GAGCTGGAAGCTGAGAACTGGCGACTTTGTAGTACAACTTTAGTACGCGGAGTATCTGGGGAGCTGGAAGATGAGAGCTGGCGACCTTGTAGTACAACTTTAGTACGCGGAGTATCTGGGGAGCTGGAAGATGAGAACTGGCGACTTTGTAGTACAACTGTAGTACGCGGAGCAAGCTGTGGAGCTGGAAGCTGAGAACTGGCGACTTTCTAGTACAACTTTAGTACGCGGATGAGTCATCTCTCGCAGCTGCTCTGGCGCCCCTGCAGCTGAGTCATGTCTCCCGACCACCCGGCTCTCTTGAGAGGTTGACAAATTTTAGCTACTTTGCTTACTCATAAGTGGCTGCCACAAAAGAGTCATCCTGACGTTAGTATGTGTGTACTTCACCTTCATGACAAACGATGCTCGCTTGGAATACACGAGTCGCTTGTCATGATCGTGACGTCGTTTACTCTCAGGTCGCCCTGTTCGTGGAAGCTTCAGTGTGAAATGTACGTTCTTCAGTTCTAGTTGAACCTCTTCAGCGTTGTACTTGCACAACTAAGGTTGACGTTGCATTGCCGTTGCATCGACGCATCTACGTCTACACCCCCTCACCTCTCTACATTTACATCTTCACACGCTCACATCCGCAGATCTACCTCTCCACCTCACCACACCCACACATCTGCACATCTATAATCTATATCACATCTGTACATCCACACTGTCGCTCCTTCACATCTGTCCTGTCTTTCTTTCTACATATTTTTTCTCTCGTCTCTGTGCATTTACATCTTCGCACACTCACATCCACAGATCTACCTCTCCACCTCCATACATCTACAGATCTATATCGCACCTGCACATCACACTGTCACTCCTTCACATCCACCCTCTCTTTCTCTCTTTCTATACATCTTTTCGACAGTGCTGGACAATTACATGTCTCGCTCTCGGGCCAACCGTCGTCTAGTTGAGTGTACGCTTCATTGCTTCATTGAAGCACCTAGGAGTTTAGGAGAAAGTTGGTGAGTGTACTTGAGTCATATGTGCCTTCCAAGCTCACTCGGTGATACATTTGGCCATGGCCAGGGCTACCGACTGAATCCTTGATCAGCTAGCCTAGACATTCTACACTCACACTCCAAGGATGTATTTGTAGGACGTAGCAACGTGTGTCCGAGTGTAGACTATCAGTACCTCGCTGATGAAAGCGTTCAGTCTTTGACCACGTGCTGAATCTTACGCTCGGACTTACTGGCGGGTTCCACCCCCTTGGCCCTTCTTGGGCCGCATGAGGGCGCCGTGCGTCAGAGTGCGGCCTTTGCCTCATCCATGTGAAGGCCATAGTTGTCATTTCCGAGCCATGCTATTTATATATCCACCCTAGGCAGTCAGAGCTATCAGTAGCCCACCCTGCACAGCTGAGGTCACATTCCTGGGGCACGAGCTTCGATCACTTTGTGCACTCCATCCACTGCCATGCCCTGTCCAAGGAAGGCCCTACATTTTGGATGGATGCAGCCTATTGGATTTGTTCCTTTGCCACTAGGAACTGAACTTCAGATGTGCTTTTCAGATCAGTTCCGAGCTAGGTAAATTGGTTTAAAGTGTGGGATCTAGAGAGAGAGAAAGAACACAAGTTTCAGACTTTATAGTCTCTTGTTTGCTCAGACAGGGAAGTGAATCTTACACCAAGCTCGGGCATTTGTTGACTAGTTGAGGCCAACAACCAGTGGAATATTGCAGCCGAATTGGCGGATGATCCAATGGATAGTGCTTTTGCAAGGGCATTGAGGGGTGGAATTAAGGGAGTTGCCATGGTTTTAGATCACGAGGTGCAACCGCTTACACGAGCCTTGACAGCACGGCAAAAGCACACAGAAACAAGTGGACATAGTGTACCCTAGGCCTCCA